AGTTTTGTAAAGCATGAATTAAAAATTGCTCGTAAAAAGTATGTATTTTGGCAACTCTTAATAGCTCATTCCTGGGTTATTTATAGGTCTGGAAGTTTTAATTTTAGCAAATGCAACTTTTTTTGGTTGGGATTTTGGAGGGGCGAGGGAGTCTGAACAGCAGCGAGGAAATGCCAGAGGATTTCTAGTACGCTGCTTATTTGCTATGATGGCCAGGTGCTTTCAGATCAGGTGAACTGAGAAACACTGATGTTCCGAGCAAGCTTTCTGTCTGGCGTCTTTGCCGGATCACATCAAACCTGCACAACGTCTGCATAAAACAGCATGCAAATTCAGGGCAGGATATTTGAATAAAAAGGAAAGTATATGATCTATATTGTGCCCATGTCAGATGCAGACAGTCATTCTCTACAGCACGGAAGTTTGATCAAAATGCAGTCAGGATAGCTATATTTATCACAAGTGCAAAACTATTCAGACTTCGGTATCATACCAGCATGTATGTGCGCATACGTTTTACGGAATGCAAGCGTACATCCCTGTAACTGAAAAAAAGCAATTTCCTCCTCATCAAGAGCAAAATTATGCAAAAGACATTACAGACATGGGGTGGGGTGTGTGTGCACACAAATATCTTAAAAAAAATTCAAAATAGTAATACAACGCATGTATATTACTGTGTCCATAAGTATCACAGACTCTGGATACATTCCATGGAAATACTGCATGTCCCCTACAAAATATTTTAAAACATAACAAACCATGAGATTCGAGATTCTACTATACGTCAGGCTTGGATTTTCTCATCTATAATGCACTGGCTATTGGTTGTCCTGAGAGTTAGGCTAGCTATACTATGGGGGAAGAGAAAGAATAAATACCTTGCTTCAGAAGTGCTTTTGCAGTGGTTTGATAAAGTGGAAAAAAAAAAATTGAAAAACCCAAGCCTGTTTGTGAACACTAACAACAATCATTTAGAAAATCTTTTTGTAGCAAAAATTCAGGGGAGATAATACCAGTGGGAAAGTCAATGTCATTTGATCACTGCCATATTTTCAAAGCAGTGCCCAGATACTAATTAATCTCTACAATCTCTTCGTTTGGTAGGTGACTTGTTATCTTCCTCTCATGGAAAAGGTTACAGGAACTCAAGATAAGGGGTACATCTAAATGTTCAAAAGCACACAGTGAGTTTGTTCCAGAATTATCAAAAGAATTTCTAGCCTTTTCTTGGGCCAATAGCCCATGTTGCTTTCCTCTCCCTCATAAAAGCTTATCTAACTATATATATACACACACTCAGAGAGAGAGAGAGGGACACGATAATTCAGTAGGGACAAAACAAAATAAAGCCCTTATTAATATCAGTATAAATACAGTCTGTAGTATTTCAGTTATTTTAACTGTGGAAGTAATAAGAGACTTCTGCGCTAAAAACCAAAAACAGAGCAAAACTGTGAAAGTGAAGTATGAAAATGCTAGGGCTAAGGCTGAGTAGAGAGATGGAAGGACTAACATTAAATAAGTAAATGCAACAGGCCTGCCTGCCTGACCACTTTAGAGCAGCTCCCAACAGACTGAGGTAGAGTAGAGCTTCTGTGCAAGGGGTTGGAAATAAGAATTGATGGTAGAACAATTTCTTTACAACCCTTTGGAGACTGAAGGGCCAAAACAGGAGGGAAATGAGATCTAGGCCACTCACAAGATGCACCAATTTAATGGAATGCACAAGATGGCCCAATATTGAGCCCTAGACTAAGTTCCAAGTTGCTTTCCCCATCAAAAGAGGTCTGGAGCGGAAGCAGAAATGAAGCGAGCCGTGCATATCAAACACAAGAAGTCTTCAACCCGGCATTTGCGTATGCTGCTAGTCTTTAGCAATAAAATCTGCAAACCTGAGGTAAAGCATGAAAATACATACTGCAGCACATAATTCAGAACAGGCTTGGCTTTTCCATGCGAAATTTGCAGCGTCCTTTTATCTTGCCTGCTTGATACCAAAAATTTGAGACTGAACTTCTGGACGGATGCTTGTGATTCCACGGCAATTCAGAGCCATGCATTTGCTCCGCTCGGTCCCGAGCACTCCAAGCCATGTCAACGGGGATTCCCCGTGATGCGGGCTCATATACTGAGCGATAAACCTGGCTTTCGGGGGCGGCCACAACAGTCACAGAGCAAGACAATTACAGTAGCTTCAAAAGAGACCATGTATTCGACTCTCCTAATGAGAGTAAGAGTCACAGTGGTATTTTATTGAGGAAGGCATGAAAAGTTCATACCTGCACGCCCCAAGGTTTTAGTTGGACAAGAAAGCGAATGGCAAAAAAAATAAAAGAAAAAAAAGAGAAAACCCACTCAAGTAGATGATGCTGTTAAGTTTTCAAGACGCTATAATTAAGACAAACTGGATCTCAAAGTTTGTTTGCTCACATATTTTCAAGCTATTAAATATATCTGCACTATAAAAATAGTTTGCTTGGGATTTTTTGCCATACATAGAATATCAGTATTCTGAACAAATATGAGCAATTTTTTAATACACAAAATGCAAGATTAATTAAGAAAATACAGTAAATTCTAACTGAGGATGACGATTCTCAGTTTTCCACGCTTAGATAGGGCTTCGGAGATGCCACACATTGAGCACAGCAACTTAAATACTTTACAACAAATCCTTCCGTACCTACACAAAATAGAGTACTGCTAATGACAGTGACAAAAAACGATAACTACTCTCGTTTCCACTTTGAGTCATTTTTCTGTGGTTAATAAATTATATCCATAACAGTGTTAATAAGTTATGGTACGGTGTCACTGCATTAGTTTGCATTTGTGATGAAGCACTTCATATGGCATTACCTATGCCCGTGGAAGTACATAACAGGAGAGACCACTTCTCTGCTCTCAGAAGAGTCTCCCATGCTGGCATTTTGACGGACCCTCTAAGGAAACTTCTCACCTCTGTTGCAGCAGCACACCACTGAGGGACAATTCTCCGTATTTAATATGTTTAACAAAACACAGACACTCTTAAATCGGTGTCCGTTCCATAGAAGCAATATACAATGAGTTATTAGTTAGGCAAACACGGGAAGCGTTCAGATCAATTTAGTCATGTGAAAAGGACACCGTCAATTCAATGCATCCTCCCTCAAGCTCCCAGAGGGAAACGGGAAGATTTACACTGACTGATGGGCTCTCAATCAACTGCTGCAACAGCTTGTTTTTCCAAAAGTTAAGAGTAAATAAATGTATTTTAAGCTTAATGCGATTTGGTCTTTAAAGAAAAAAGAAAAGCAGAAACTATTTAAATTCTTGCAACCCAACTACCGCAGTGCTGGTGAAGACAGAGATGACAAAAGTAATAAGCATGCTTTTAACAACAGAAGGAAGCTCACGGCTTTAAGTATATTCTTTTACAAATAAAGAAGTGCAAAACAGTAAAAAGCCAGCCCCAAATCAGAGTTCTCTCATCTGGGCTTTTGGTCATCTCAAGTGCTAACTTCAAGAGTTGTTATTAGGCAAAATGGTTTTTGTCCATTAAAATTATTATATAAAAATTCAGTATAGTTTAAAAACAACTTTTTAAAAGAGTGTAATTATTGAATTGTCTCCAGTACCATGATACCATCTCTAGTGAAGTATTCCCTTTAAAAACTTTTTTCCTGCTTTATAATATCATCTACATATATACAGAAGCTGCCATGTGAAACACAATGTCCAAATAGAAAAGAAATATTCCATCTCGATAGAACTTAATTGCTTTCCATCAGTATCAAGTAAAAACTAGCACTATTAGATTAAAATGAAGAAAAATCCCAGATTATCTGCAGTCTCCATAAGCCAGCAGTGCAAAAGCTCTCATGCTTTTATAGTATGTATATACAAGATAACTTTGCAGACATATTACTGGAATGGTTTGCAACCAGTGAAGGTAATTTTGATTATTTCCACTTCAAAACTTCCTATATTGGAGCCACATCACTGAAAACAATCTAACCATAAGGGGAAAAAAGTGATGGCAAAACAGCCTGCTAATATATTTGCTGGAAAGACAGACAGGGAAA